TCAGTCGAATTTTGTGCTGAGGCTGAAATTGCATGCCAAAAAAAAAGCCACTCAAAGCCAAAACCCAAACCGAAAACCCAATGAAAGAAATTTCAGTATTGGGCAACCCAAGACCCATCAGAGAAGACGCTAATGTCGACGAGAGTGGGAAGCCAGGCAGCGTGTTAAGCGGCAATCACTTAAAGGCAATAACAAGGGGTCCAAATGGTTACAAAGAAATGCAGCCGCCGTTTTGTAATGGCCCAAAAGAAAACGCCAAAAGGCTTAAAGCGGTGGGCGCGTTAAATTGCAAATAATTGTTTGTTCGGGAAAAGACAACATCATCATCAACGCCATCTGCCACAGCCACAGCCAGAGCTACAGCCACTGCATCAGCGATCGATGGAGATCGGTCGGAGATCGGTTGGAGAGCGTCTGAGGCGAGGTGTAGTAAGGGGAGGCGAAGTGCCTCTTTCTTTCCACACCTTTCCAAATCTAATTCGTGGGCATTACGGGGGGGGATTACGCAATGCCGGATGAGGGCTGACATACTTACACCAGAGCGTCGTATACGGGTTCAGGTCGCGCAGGGGATAGGTTAGCAAGCAGACGACGGCCACGATGTGGAGCAACGAGATCTGGATGACTTTGTCCCACTTGAGAGGGGCCTGGAATTGATAGCCAAGAACCTTGTCGCCCTGGAAGTTTCGTGTGTATACCTCCAGGTCGATCTGGTCCTTGGGCACATGATCGACGAGGTCCTCGGGAACCACCGAAGCTGCCGACTTCATCGACGAGAGGCTCTTGGGAAGCGGTAGTTTACCGCGCGGAGGCAGCTCCGGGGAGGAATCCTCACCCCGGCGGCCTTGGTTGGAATCGCCGCTCAGCTTTGAGCGACGGGCAAGCAGCGGAGGACTTCCCTCGCCGCTGCTGGGGATCGGTGTCTTGCTGCACACTCGCTCTGACGTGGAGAGGTGACCCATTTCGCCTTCGCTCAGGTGGCACTCACTTCGCTGGCAAAGAGGTGTTTTGGGCTGGGGCCTGGGTCTGGGCTTGGGTTTCGCCGGCGGAAACTGCGTTTCGTAACAGTCCGAGCACTCCGAACTTTCTTCACAGGTTAACACACAATACGAGCCTAAATGCAGCTGGAGTCGGAGTACTTGGGTATCTGGGGGGAGATGGATGAATGGAGATGGCGAAGGCGATGGCGAACGCGCACTCAACACTGGCACTGGCTCTGACGCGGCCCTTCAGTTCGGTAAGAGGTTTCTCTTCGGAGCTGGCGGAGTCTTGACGGGACGATTAGTACGATTCGCTTGTTCCGCTTTGTAGTTTCTAACGAACTCGACGCGGCGCCGTTCCGTAGACAAATGATCGTAGCCGAAAGTGTAAATTCCTACCAATGGCTTTGTGGGCTCCGCTGGCCCCAGCAGCAGCAGAATCAAAGGCAGCGACTGCGAGTACGACAGCGACTGAGGCAGAAACAGAGACAGAGACAGAGACAGAAGCAGAAACAGAGAGACAGACGATCTGACTGATTGACCGACTGACTGACGGAGTTTCCGTTGTCGTGCTTTTTGTTGTGTGGTGGTGCGCGGACGCACAAAGGTAAAGAGAAGAAAAGAAAAGAAAAGAAAAGACGGGCAAGAAGGCCAAGATTATGGCACCACACACATACTCGCTCACTCACGCGAGCCGACAGCCGACCGAACCACCTGTAGCAGCGAGCTTCGTCTTAGCCAGCAGTTTCGTGTCCGCTACCCATCACATTCGCTACTTGAATGGCGGGGGTGACTGGGAGGTCAGGTCATGCATCGCGAAGGGAAACTTCTGCCTCAATATAAATCCATTCAAAACCATAAAACCAAAGCCCGATTTGAAAATAAACTAAACTAAAATCTAAAATCATAATATTTATTTTAGTCCTCTACATGTGGAAAATATCGATAGGAATGAAGATCAATGATATATTCTCAAACCAAATTTGGTATGAATATTGTGATACGAAAAAAAGGGCATAGTGAAATTTTACCAGAGAAAACAGTTTTGCTATAGGCTTGTCTTTAATTGCTTAGCTAGTGATATCCCTAGCCAACAGTTCTCATGGGGTAGCAGAGAGTCGATGCATTCTTATCTTCCAAGCTGTATCTCTCACGATCTCCAACTCACAGCGTCGGACTGGGGCGAACGACAAGAAGTCTGCCGATGCTCCTCGCGATTACCCACGAATACTGCACGAAGTCGCCGCGCAGGCGCGTCTAATTTCATTTACTATTTATTGTTTGAGCAGCAATCGGCGATGCTAATTGAGAGATCCAAGCATCCCATAAGACGGATTGGCCAATCCATCGATCTATCCAGCTTTTGTTGCCAACTGCTGGAAGCCAAAGAATTTATCTCCGTTATATTCTCGGTCTAGTAGGAGATTTTTTAATGTGCTGGGAACCATCAAAGCAAAATGTAAATGATGCAGAAATCTACATAGTTTACACAGATCCCAAGCGAAGCGATTTCTATTTCAGGCGCAGTGAGTGGATCCCAGTCAAAGGCTGGCAGTGACTTCTCTGATTCTGCTGCCCTATTTGCATAGTTGCCAACTCAATCTCTCCTTTTGCAAGCCCCACACCACAGACTCATAAAAGACCTTCGAGTCATCTTCTTCAGATGCTTCCCCTTTTCTCTGTATCTCTGTGTCAGGGTGTGAGTGTTGACCGAAGTCAAAAGCCGTTCGATGATCATGAAGTTCAGCAGCGGCGCAGCCCGAAGACTGCAAAGACCTAAGCAGAAGAGGAGAGTGGCTTTCTCTTTACATAACCTCGGCGACACAAAACAGAAACCAAACCAAAACTTAATTAAAATCCAAAAGCAAAAGCAGCAAGCACGAAACGAAATAAAACAGTCCGAACCAAAAGGAAGCTCTTCCCCTCGTAAAATTCGGGCCTCAAAATGCGTTTACCACCTCCCAACGTGGTAGCACTCGTTCCATCCGAAGACGTTCAAAGTGTCACGCGACCAATCCCTTTGATGTCTGTTTTGTTAGGTGGAGCCGCACCGCTGTGGTGCTGATGGTGTCGCAGAGTCTGAAGATGTGCTAAAGCTGCTACTGCGGTGTTGTAAGCACTGGCCATTAGCCAATTATGCAAAGCAACGGCAACTACAGCGTGGCACCAACGGAGATCAGCAGAAAAAGCTTTGAAATTGTACAAAAATTGTACACCAGAGATGGCCCCAAAGACGGAGACGCAGCCATAGTAAGGGCATGGAAATGAATGTGAGGACTGACTGGAATGCTTTGTTTATAAACAAACAACAAACTGGAAATCATTGGAAACCACTTTTATATACTATTGCGCAGCTTTTCTTTTCGCATTGTCAGCGTTTTTTATGAGCTTACCAAAGCCGTGAACGCCAGAGTTCTTGCCCGAAAAATCCCCCAAAACAAAGCAGCTGACTGAGATTGCATGTATGTAAGTAGTACTTTATAATAAATTATTGAAGGTATGTATGTATTCTTTGTACTCCAAGTCTTATCATTACCCGCTTGGTACCCCCTTCTTGGCCACGCTCAAAAGATATCCATTCATCCGTATGAAGCGTCCATTCGCCATCGATTAGTCCGAGAGTTGGCGAATTGTTGAATTATTGAATTGATGAATTGCTGTATTGGTGAATTGGTGACTTCCAAATTTTTGCTCTCAGGGCTACTCTTCATGACAGCGTCAACGCCGCAACACCTGCCCAAATCGAGCACACATCTCTGTATGGATCTGCCTATGGACTGTGTCGTTAGGTATTAGGTTTTAGTTATTGGGCATTAGGCATTACAAAATCTGAAAAGTCAAAAGGCAACAGATTTTGCGTACGTAGAGTACTACAGAGCCGTGTTTGTGCAACCTTCAACTGTCGCTCAGACGGTTTATGGAAAACAAATTAACAAAACAACAAAGCGCAGACAACGACGAGACTGCAATTTGCAACAAAAGGCCCAAACGGTGTGGAGCCTAGTGCTGTGGAGCGGATTTCTGATCTGCGGCTGCCGCAACAGCAACAGAAACAACAGCAACGCAAACAGCAGACAGTACGAGTAAACGCAGCTTTTAGCAGTTAAATTCATTAGTAATCACTTCAGTTCAGAGTCATTAGGAATTGGTACAAGTGGCAGGCCAGACTCGAATATGAGTCAGTTTCGAATTAGAAACGTTCACACCTTGCCCTGGGAATCGACCGCCACTAAGGGGGAGATTGGAATGATGGGGCTAACCAACTTTTTGCACGGTCCCAGCATAGATTTTTCCGCCCGAGCGAAACGTTTGCCTAAACAGTGTTCAATGGGCCAACATTTAGTTGCCTCCACGCAGGAGCAGCAGCTTCTGTTGAGACTGCCAACCAGTAGAGAAGGGACTATCGACATTGACAACCGCGCAGGCTTCGGGGCGGCAGGTGCTGAGTGCGTCGTCAATATTGACGAATCAATCAGCAGCTACATCTGGTACTGGGCACACATTGCGTATGAGCCATCAAATCATTAGGCGAATCCCATATAATTTTGCGCAAAGAGCCCGAGACCGAGCTTAAGCGCTATCCCTATCCTATCCGATACGATCATGGGAAAGCAAACGAGCCGATTGCCAAATGCCAATTTATTTGGCATCCGTAAACAACAATCAGAAAGAGAAAGAGCCCGGCTAAAGTTCGAAAACAATCTCGAACTTTACACCAAATTGGAATACCTAATGAAGGTTATTTTTTGATTTGTGAGCTTGTTTGGTTGCTCTTGGGAAACGCCGCCCAAGTGCATCTGATGCCGATGTCGACGCCGACTCCTCTTCCCACTCCTTTGCCCATCTGGAGCCCACGTCCAAGTGGAAATCGAGCTTCGCCTTTGTTTGCTGCCCAAGCCCAAACCCGAAACCCAGACGCTAACCCAGGCCCAAACTCTAAGACGTCCGCAGCTTTGTGTACCAGGCCAATAATTAGGCTTCGTGTTTGCTCCCCTCCCTCTACCATTCTCTCTTGGCCAATTGTTGGTGCTTAATTTATTTTTACGGCTGCCTCGACTATTTCACGCATCATTTCGAAGACGAATGACGCAAGCCGCAAGACAAGAAAGACACACGAACAGCCGAACGGACTTCACATGAACTTCTCGCGATTGAGGAAATGATTGGCGGGCAGAGCGTTCTCCTCGAGGCGCACCTGTTCCTCAATGCACTCGACAATCGGACGGCCAGTCTCCACCGCTCGGGACAGGCCCTGGCGCACGGCTACCGATCCGACGGTGCGCAGATCCTTGGCCCAGTCGAGGGCCGCAAAGACGCGGATCACACTGGCCCCCAGGCCGCTCGCGTAGTCGCCAAACTCGCCGCTCTGGTAGTCCCGGGGCAGGAGGTAGTGGAACTGGGGCCAGTAGCTTTTCGTAATGAGGAAGATGCTGTTGGAGTCGGTGGGCTTGAACCCCTTGTGGATGCTCCACACAAAGTGGGCGGAGTTCACTAGGTTGCCCACGTTAATCACGATTAGGCTGCGCAGCCAGAAGCCCACGAACATGGAGGCGGACAGGGTGTCCCCGAAGTACTGAAAGGGGGTGTTCACCGACAGAAGAATGTTGAAGAATATGTACAGCAGAACGTAGAAGCTGAAGATCACAAAGATATCCGAGGAATCAGAGTATGAAGACAGAGCAGATTAAGGCGTGACCTATGACCTACCGCTTCTGGAACATGACTATCGAGTCACTCTCAAGATCCGACATGTCCACGTCCTTCAAGAGCTCCTCCTGCTGGGGCGAGTACTTGAGAAGACCACCGCGTACTTGGGCGTACAAGAAGCTGTGCTTGCTGTAGTAGGGATCCTCGTCCTGCTGGAACTTTTCGTGGTGAAGTCTATGGGCTTGGACGACACTGTAAATGGAGCCCTGGCGAGATAACGAGAAATGGAAACAGTATATGAACCGGTTGGGTTTTTGTCGCGGCTAAAAGCACAGACGAAAGCTTTTCAGACTGCTTTTCTCAGAGGCATAGTCATCCAAAGCTAGGGCGGTCGTGCACGTGGGCTCACCTGACCGGCCGTCGTCTGGCAGAGCATGAGGAAGACCCGCAGCGGCTTCGATGCCGTGAACGTTCCATGGGCCCACAGCCGATGCACACCCACGGTCGACCCCATTGTGCCCAGGAGTGTCAGGAGTGCCGCTGTGGAGGGGGACAGAGAGATCGAAGGGCGATTGGACCCAACACATTTGTTAGGCAGCACGTGGAGCTGATTAACTTTCTGAACTCACTGAATAAAATAGTGGACCACGCGGCGCTCACCACCAGCACGTAGATTCCGTAGAGGCCGAGAATGTTCACGTGGATGTAGAACAGCACCAGGGGCCAGATGGCGTCCCGCTTCTTGAACTCACTCCCCAAGGAGCTGGTATCCTGGCCCACATCCTTCTGGCTCTGCTTGTGCATTGCTGATCGCTGACTATATTGCTGATTCGTAATCCCTGATCGTTGCCTCGTCTGTTCCACACGCGAACCCAGGCGTTACTGAACGATGTCCGGCGCCTGAGAGCCCGGCGAGGCGAAGGTCTGCCCTGGGCTGAGCTTCGCGTGCTTGCATATGCATGAGGAACGCAAATTGCCTAAAAGCCAATACTTAGGAGGGACACACAGTCAAGCGGAGGACAGAGCGCACGGTTGGGTTTAATAAAAAACATAGTTTATTGACCCGAGTACTAGCGGGTAAGTAACGAAAGCAACGTCGAGCTGGGATGAGTCCTGGGATGATGTCGAGGATGGGGAGACGGCTGCAACTTGAACTTAAGACTATTGAAACCACAGGCTGAAAAGATAATACGGTGCCAGAGCTCTAGCCCTCAGTTTTGCATCTTGGCCAACTCTGCGAGGTCTTCTCGCGGCAAGTCCTTGTCCCCAAAGCCCCAGACCTGATCCTTGTGAGCGAACTCGTCGTCCAGGAATCGTGTGCCATCCCCACACTTGGCCGCGCGTCGCTTGACCATGTCGGGGGAAACAACTTTTCCTGTTCAGGGATTAGATTCAAGCAATTAGTTGATGATCAATTAGAGAACAAGGCATAACCTACGTCCACTGGCCAAGCCGAGGCGGGCGCAAAAGTCAATAAAGCCCGTTGTCACGTTGAGGCTGTAGTTTCCGAACTCGCCCGTCTTGTAGTCCCAGGGGAACACATGATGATAGTTGTGCCATCCCTCGCCCATGGCCAGCAGTGAAACGATGGGCGCCTCCACGGACATGATATTCCTGAAGAAAGAAAAGCAAAGAGTTAGAGAATGTATCTGAAGATTGGTAACATGATGAGCTTACTTATCGTATGGCCTGTTACCATACATGTGGGCCACACTGTTCACGAAAAAGGCCACGTTGAGGGTCCAAGTGAATCGCATGTTGAAGTTGATCCAGAAGGACATCCAGAGGCTCTCGCCCCAGAAGTACCAGGGCACGCACACGGGCAGAATGATCGAGCAGAGGGCGAAGAGTGGAATATAGTACTTTCTCTGGAACATGCAGACAGCATCGGCTTCCAGATCCGACATGTCGATCACCTTCCGCTTGGCCACCACCTTCGGGTGGGGGGTGAGGAACAGCCAGCCCACGTGGGCGAAGAAGAAGCCGCGCTTCGCATTATGCGGATCTGCGTCCGTCTCCGAGAACTTGTGGTGTATCCTATGGTCCAGGGCCCAGGTGTAGGCATCGCGCTATATGAGAAATCAGGGGACTCAGAACCTTTTCTCTCCATCTGAGATATTTTCCGATCCACGTACCTGACCAGCTATGGAGAAGGCGAAAGCGAGCAGAACGCGCAAACCCCAGGAGGCAGTGTAGGACTTGTGCGACCAAAGACGATGCGCACCCGCCGTGATCCCAATGCCTGATACCCAGATGGTACCAACCACTGAAAGAGGGATCAAGAGAATAGAGAAATGCCATTGTCTATAAACACATACACCCACATAGTCCCATATGTATGTATATAGCAGACAGCATATACACATGCCTCTGAATAGTTCGCTCTGTTGACTCGGCCTCGCTTGATTTACTCACCGCATGACACAATACTAAATATACATATCTATTCTCTGTTCTTCAGGGTGGCCTAAATGTCGCCTCTTCCCTTATAGAAATCGCTCTCTCTCCCACTTCGATCATTATTCGAAATTGTTCGACGCTGGCAATTGAAGCGTTCGTTAAGTTTAATTGCCGCTAGTCAAAGTTCATTCTGCCACAGCTAAATATAGATAAAACATCCCCTTCCCAACTTGTATTTATTATTCCAAAGGCTTATATGCTATCTACTCGATGGGAAATATATTCTATGGATTATCATCCTTTCCTCGCTGACCCTTCGTCAAAGTTTCTCTCTAAATAAATGATACACTACTCCCAATGTGGTCATTCAGGTCCAGCTAACAACAACTGGCAAGCCAGAAACAGTGCTTGCCGAGTAGCCAATATATTTTTTGCTTATTGACTTAAGTAATTATTACGGACAAACGGAGACCTGGTCGACGCCAAAACTTATTTGTTACACATGTTAATTACAGATCTCGATGCCCAGAGGGGACAACATGCTGGTAAGGATTAAAGTGAGGACAGTGGGACTCACCCCAGAGGAATGTGTAGAACTTGGCGTAGAAAAGCAGGTAGACGCCGTAAAGGGCCCCGACGTGCAGGAAGGTCTGGGCCCCCAGATCGGGCCATCTGATCTCTGGCTTGTAGACCTCATCCTCCTCCTCTTGATCCTTGATCAGCTGCTCCTGCGCCTTCTGTTCCTTCTCAGTGTTCTCCTTGTATACAGCGTTTTCCTCCTTATAACCTAAATTATCGTCTAGCTCCCTCTCGGGCTCTTTGGTCTGTCTAGCACCTATGGAGTGGCCTCTCAGCTTCAGCTCTCCGTTGCTGCCGTTGCTGCTAGTGGTAGTGCTGCTGCTGCGGCTCCCGTTCTTATCCAGGCTGCAGGACCCGTTGCATCGGCTCTCGGGTGCCTGGCTCTGACCGGGCGCTAGTGTCGGTGAGGAAAGGCACATGGTGTAATTGGTGATCGGAGATCGACTGCAAAGAGAGATTGAGAGAGAGTGTCGGTGGTTAGATGGATGAGTAAGCAGACTGAATCCATAGAGACCTGCTAATTTAAGTTTAGGAAGGTTATAATGGACACTATTAACAGGCCTTTGGAGAAATGAAGGCTGTAATTGGTGTTAAATTCGCAGCGAGTCTCATGTGCCCCACCCGCTTCTGCTACCCACCGACGGAATACACTGCTCTGTTTGCTCTGATTATTAACATTTTGCCTCTATTGTATTTATCAACAAACTTAAAAGTCGTTGGCTCTGCATTTGTCTACTCCGATTTCTGATGTCGAGTGTTATCGCGGGCTTATCGTCGGCCAAGTGCCGTGTTGCAATCATCGAATTGTTAGTTGGCTCAACCACTATCTGGGCAACTGACCAGAAAACAAACATCACTACACTACCATATTATGGCCATAGGCGCTATCAACGGTGAAACTGCCAGAGCTGTGAGTCATTATGCAGGTGGATCTGCACACGACCCTGATGGATGTTCAGGCTGCGAACTAATTCCTTGTTGGCTGGTGTGACATATCAGTGGAAGATTCCTCCCTGTCATCGGCACTATCCGAATTGCTGGGATTTCGGGCAACTGGTGCTAATCTCCGTTCTAGAATTGTTTATGAGTATCTGCTTATCTAACGCCAACCAACCTACAACGCGTTCTAATACGGAAATAAAGATACTCTACTCCAACCTTATTTCTTGGGATCCTGGGAGTAATTATTATACGATTATATCCAAAGTAAAGTACATCGTTAGATTCACACTAGAGAGTAATTGCAACACCTCATATCAAATAGATCGTGTATATTTTTGCAAAAATATAACATACTCTTTGCTTTTCGATTACCGAGTATCATATAGCCGCACGATGAAAGCCAGACTAACATTTCAAATGTTTATCTTCCAATTTTTTGGTCTGGGGACTGAACGAGCATGAGAGGTCGATACATTCCGCGTGCGTGTCTCTGCTAGGGACTTATGGCTCTGATGATAAGCAATGCACACCTGGACACCTGGCCCACATTTCCCACTAAGTTCATTCAAAAGTTTGGGGGCTCCGATAAGCAATCATCGAGTGACGCGGATACTCCTAAATGAGATTATTGTTCCCCATGATTCATTGACAGTCTGGCCGACCCAGGTGTTCAAATCGGAGTGAGTAATTGCAGAGTTCAAGGAGAGACCCCTTACGTAACTAGCAATTCCCGCAGCCCAGAGATAAGATTGCTTGCGAGTGGCGCAGGAGAGCTCACAATTTACATATTGATAAAGTACTGCTCCCCAGGGAGGGAATGAGGATAAGCAAACACGCCCCGTTTTGCCTTTGAATTTTAATTAGAAAATGTAGCCACGCACGCTAATTTGATAAGGGCGGAGCGGGGAAGGATGAATATAAAAATGAGTACCAGAATTTGACGAACGCTGTCATAAATGTATTCGAGGTCGCAAGAATTGATCATGGGCCCAGAGCACGCGACTCAGCGATTTTGCCACGAGCTGGGGCAAAGTCTGAGGCGAGCATGCATAAATTAAATAATATTTTCCCCAATTTCGATTCACTCGTTGTTGGCACCCTGGCAACGCAATCCAGCCCCGAAGAGCGAACAAGAAAATTAAACAATCTATTTGGCCCTATAATAAATAATAATAAACAATAAATAAATACTGTCATCGTCAGCCCCGTTTAAGACCCCGAGCCCAATGGTGCTCCTCCGTTCAGTTAAGTTCAGTCTGGAGCGTTTTTTCTGGCGATGTTTGCGATAAAGCCGACCGCCCATCGAGAAATTCTGTTTAGTTTTCGTTATTCTTGCCATGGACGGGCGATTTTTCAAATATGGCTAATTGCCTGATGGCCCGCACGTCGCCCTATCGCCTACTATTCACCCGCTCTCCACTTCCAAGCACTTTTACTGCCGCAGTGCCAAATTTTATTGGAAAATTTCCATGCCCAGACCAAATCGGAAACTTGGCGACGGGGCGAGCTTTCATCTGACGGAGAGGAACCTTCGGCGGTTTCCCGCAACCCTCCAATTAAGTATCGCCACTTGTTGCCCGCGCAACAGCTGCCTGCCACCTTTAATTGGAGCTTTTAATGGCAGAGTACACATAGTTGTGGGGCAATTGAACCCCCCATTCGATATTCACTATCTTAAGATAATTTAGGAAAGATCTCTCACGGCTGCAGTTGGTGGAAGGTTTATGCCGGTCCCTAGAGCGCGATGAAAAAAATCATCGGCACGATAACACATTCCTAGGAATTCAGAGTTCCAGTTGTACATATGTACAATAATACATATGTACATACAATATACAGGAGCAAGCCCTTCCCTTGCCCAGTTTCGAATGGGTTGGGGTTGTGGTTTCTGCTCTTTTTTTTGGTCTGTTGGTTGGTTATTGATGTGGGTCAGCGCGTGTCGTGGCGGCAAT